TGCAACGCTCGCACGCTCGCGCATTTTATTGATGCCTGACAAAAGGCCCGTGTACACTTGCATTTGCAATTTTTGCTTAATGAGATTTCTAGTGCAATTTTCTAGTTCTGATGTGAACGAGTAGACGAGTAGACGAGTAGTAGACACTTCTTCACATGCATCGGAAGAAGAAAATCCCATAGCAAAGATTGCAAGTGATGTTCATGGATATGGTAGACGGACACAAAGATATATAGGAAGTAATAACTCTACGTCGAGCTAGGGGAGGGACGGAAGAAGGCACTTTTAAACAAAGAGTTTTCAGCAGTGTTTGTGCATAGCGCGTGTGTCTTTGTGTTCTATATTCGCCCGGCTTGCTAGAGACGGATCAGCCATTACGACACAATGTCCGTCTGACGGATGAGCTTCAAGACGGTGTGAAGCGAAGTACGTAGATAGTTCGTCTTCACGGAAGTGCTGTCTGTTTGTAGCGTTTATACGCAGACAAATTATCAGACGAACTATCTATTCTTTGGCTTTGCTCAATTTTATCCACACGAATCATCCATCTCTATAATGTAAATTTGGCCAAATCTCCTTCGGTGCACAATGTCTATGGTGTGTTGCTATATTGAACGGTCTAGCTCTGTGCGAGTGTGGGTAGTGGGCCTAGTGGCAATAACAAGAAAGATGTGTATTGAAGGAGACACAACTACCTCGAAAAAACAAGGAGAACTTCGACGTTTCGAGCGAAGGCTCTTCGTCTCCTTGTACTTTCATGATCAGGTAGTTGCATTCCTATCAATCTGAAGTTTTCTGTATATAAATTGTGTACTGTCGGCAGAGTCGTACGTGTATGTGAATTTCAATTCAACCCATTTTCAGTTGCTTTTCTATTTAAACGCGAGTCAAAGCGAAGCCGAACTCCTGTCGTGTTTAAATTCAACTAAACAATGGCACGCGTTTCCTCATAATTGCATAACATGTTTAATTTTTTCGTTCGATGCGTGTTTTTCAAAGTCCAAACCAGCTGTATTGTATAACAACAAAACAACAATGATATTCAATATTCATAAACTTTGCATGCAGGACACACTGTTGCGAACGAACCACGCAAATTTAATATCGTTTATATATTGTCTGGTCCTCAAATGAAACCCTGCAGTGTTGGTTTAATTATGCGGATCCATTATTAACTTGTCTTGTTTGTTCAGCAAGGCCGCAAACTTCTTTTTAAATCCCACAAATTACACATTTCATCCTCACGGCTCCTAACTTGGCCCTGTATTGACAGAAAAATGTAAATCCATTTAAGATTACATTTCACCTAACTTGGTTATAATTAATTAAACTAAACTTTATTTATACTGTATAGCTTAGTAAGGCTCTTATTGATCCAGTATTACCACAGGAGGAAACCTAACCTAAACTAACTTTATTTATACTGGATAGCTCTATCAGTTCTAAACTGTTCTTCCTAGAGGTCCAGTAAGGATCATCTCTTATTGATCCAGTGTTACTACGGGAGGAAACCTAAACTAAACGAACTTTATTTATAATGGATAGCTCTATCAGTTCTAAACTGTTCTTCCTATAGAGGTCCAGTAAAGATCATCTCTTATTGATCCAGTGTTACCACAGGAGGAAACCCAAGCTAAACTAACTTTATTTATTCTGGGTAGCTCTATCAGTTCTAAACTGTTCTTCCTAGAGGTCCAGTAAGGATCATCTCTTATTGATCCAGTGTTACTACAGGAGGAAACCTAAACTAAACGAACTTTATTTATAATGGATAGCTCTATCAGTTCTAAACTGTTCTCCCTAGAGGTTCAGTAAGAATCATCCGTTATAGTAAGAATCATCCGCTAAACTAAACTAACTTTATTTATACTGGATAGCTCTATCAGTTCTAAACTGTTCTCCCTAGAGGTTCAATAAGAAGAGTTAACCCTAACCCTAATTACTACAGGAGGAAACCTAAACTTCATATACAATTATCTTTTCTTGCAGCGTCCAAAGACAGGCACAGCCAGCATTACAGCAAAATTTAACAAGACTGCCCCAGCCACCAGCAAATGTACAGGATGTGCTAAGACTGTCTACCCCATGGAGATGATTACTGCGGATGATAAGGCATTTCATAGAAAATGTTTTAAGTGCACTGAGTGTAAAGCTACTCTGAGGTAGGTCTGAAAAGCATAGAAAATAATTCATAGTGTAAAACACCATGAACATACAAAAAATAGGTATACTTAACCATGCTCTGCCCAAAACTGAGTCTTCGAATACCAGAACTACCTTTTCAAAAGCCAGAACTCCGTTTACAAATGCCAAAACTCTGTTTTCAAATGCCAGATCTACCTTTTCAAAAGCCAGAACTGCATTTTCAAATCAAGCCAGAACTCCGTTTTCAAATGCCAGAACTCCCTTTTCAAATGCCATACCATATCACACCATACCGTACTGTATCATACCATACCACGCCATATCACAACATACTACCCAAGGCAAATACGTACCATACCATATCATATCACTCCGTACCATACCATATCATACCATACCATACCATACCATACCACACAATTTGAGTAAAATTTTAATCCGGTCCAAAATTCATTCAATCCTCTGTAAACGAAGCCTAAATCGCTGATCTATTTTCCGTAGACTTGGCAACTATGCAGCCCTTCAAGGCCAGATTTATTGCAAACCGCATTTCAAGCAACTATTTAAAGTAAAGGGGAATTACGATGAAGGTTTTGGACGACAACAGCACAAGAAGCACTGGGAAGAGAAAGCGAAGACTGAAAACTCTTCTGAAGATCAGAAACCAGAAGAAAATAATGAGGTTGGAAGTTTATTAAAATGTTTTTAAGCTGATAGCTTCCCGTAGTGACGTGAAAAGACACCTGTCCGTACCTCTTAGCAACGCTATTTTCAGAGGAATTATTGCAACGGAGAGATGTTGTTTCGCTCAGCTTCTGAAAGTTCTACATTCCGTATCGAATAGGTGCGTTTTCGCGCCACTACGGAAAGCTATCTGGTATAGTGGGAATGTATCCAAGTCCAATCAATGAGACGATATTGAATATTAAAATTTGTTATATCCATTTGCTGTTCGCTTTTGGAATTTACAATTGACTATGAAAACCTTAATTGAAATAGGAGTATATACAGACGACTAACAGAGATTTCTGTTCTTTGTAGGTGGACTCAAATGCCAATATCAAAGCACCTGATAATGACGTCCCTCATGAAAACGGATACGACCACCCCCCTGCCGAGGAGAGTAACGGATATGACGACCCCCCGGACGAGGAGACTAATGGATATGACCACCACCCGGACGAGCAAACCAACGGATATGACTCAGCCAACGAAGATGCATTCATTGGCGATGATGGGATCACCACATAAAACACACGCGTGGAATGCGCGAGAAACACGCGGGCCTCGCTCATGGTGGTTCAATGATGTTTTTCACAATGCGAATTTGCGAAGGCCCAATAAAGCACTGATAATACCTGTTCACTGTAAAACAGCTTGCAAAAAAATTACTGTGTTTTACGTTTTGCATATAATTTCGCATTTTGAAGAAACACCATGGGGCCACTTTAATGGTTTATTAGTGTGAGCAAATGCATTCAGTTTTTGTGCCCAGGGTTCATAGAATTTGTTAATATCTCGCGTATCATTCTTCGCGTATTTAATTTCCTCTCGAGACATCGATCTAACTTTGGTTAGTTTTCCAATTTCTCATGGCTGATCGCGAGTGTTGGTTTACATATAAACTATCGAAGTTTCTACAAAGTAAATTTGGTCAAAGTTTTTGAAAGAGGTTCACAGTTGATCAAACCGTACTTTGTTCAAACAAAGTTTATTGAAAGATTCAAAATCTTTCAAAGATGTTTGCATTTCGCTTACTTTCAAGGGAGATCACATGCGCAATTCATTTTATACAGAATTCATATCATAATTCATCTTTCTTTCGTAATAGTCCATTGTAAATTATAGGGAGTGACTGGTAGGGTAGAATGAGGATTAAGTTAGAATTTTATTCATTTAATTTTCAGTTGTAAATGATATTTTGCCACATAACGTAGTTAATATAGTAAAAAAAAGAAATTCCCAAAGGTTTTGTAGAGGGTTATCAACTAACGCATGCCTACGCCAAATGGTTGTAATTCATATTTTCAGATACCTTACATGTCCAGTTTCACTGTTCTGGTAATGTAAAGGAATAAAGGTATTAAAACAAACATTTAAATTGTTTTTGAGTGGATTTGATAACTTGCTTGCAAACGCGTTAGCCGGTAGGGAAGCCCAATTCCCTCCAAGCGAATTATCCGGGGGAAGCGAAGCGCGACACCAAAATACAATCCAGCAATGTGAATGGTGATTGCTAGATAGTATACTTCGAAATAAGGTTTTCGTTTTTATAATGTAGAAAAAACTATCCAAACGCAAAACTAAACCCTAAAGCTACGTTTACACGCTACGATTAATCGTGTACGATTCGTATTCTGGCGTATTAAAATGAGTGCTGGCGCCATAATTCATTGCAGTTTCGTTAAAAAGAGATTTCAAATGTAGCCAGCTTATGCGTGTTTACTCAATGACATACGCCAGAAAACGAATCGTACACGATTAATCGCAGCGTGTAAACGTAGCTTAATACTAACCCAAACCTAACTTATTTTAAAAATTGATATAACAACGGAAACCTTATTTTAAGTATACTATCTAGCAATCGCCTGAATGGTGAATATGTGATTAGTTTTAGCGACAAATTTGGTGCGAAAAGGTGTGCGTTACCTTTCTGTGGTAAATTTTGTCGCGCACGCGCAAAATGCTAATTACGTGACGCGATAAGCGCTGTGTCGTTTCCATAGCGACATATTTTTTCGTAGTCTTGTACGCGAAAGTTCCGAAAGTTTTCATTCTTGAAAAATTCCAAAGCGATTTTTGAGGATTCATTCAAAGTTGTATATTTTTATCAAAACTTGTTGTTTTGATCATTTATGATGTAAGTATTGATGGATTTTGTAAGATTTTTTGTTTTTCATTGTGTTTTTTTTTTTTGCTTTTACGCAGTTTTACAAAAGCGCGCGCTTTTGTAAAGGTGGAAAAAATACGACATTCCAGTCTTCAGGCAGCTACATTGAGACAAAAATTTTGCTTTTTCTTCAGGAGAAAAGGAAAAGATCTCCCTAGTTCGTCTGTTAAAGGCACTTCACGGATTCCGAAGCCAGTGAGTATTTTGTGAAATGTTTCCGCTTTAAATGCGTATCCATCGCTCTTGTGGTTAGAAACGCACGATGAAAGTCTTAAACTAATTTAATATTCAATTTTCTTAGGTTTCTGGCAATAATAGCAAAGTTGAGGAGCAAGATGGCTCCAAGTCGAGAAAGTAAGTGGCAATTTTTGGAAAAGCAGTTTCATAGAATGGTTCTGAAAGTAGAATTAAGTGACATTTCAATAATATTTTGAAGAGGGAAGAAGCATACTTGGGCTAGATCACAGCGCAAATACAATTCTGTTTTATTTCCTGTAGTTTACGATCAAATTCTCGCAGTACATCGTCCACGCGTCCAATACGCATCAACCGTGATTGTTTGAAAGGAATTCGTACTACTCCTGACCGAGTCGTTAAAAGGTAGTATTTTATATAAATAGATTTTTTTAAATGTTTGATCCAGGCCAAAGCCATATTGAATGCTTAATAATTTTCTCATTTTCAGAACTCGTCCCTTCATTCAGAAACTCAATTCTAATGGTGGTAGCAACGCAACATCTCCAACCTCTGCAATAAAGCTCCGGGTTCCGGCGTCCTCGGTAATAAAGCCCCGGGCTCCGGTACCTCGGATAACCACTCACTGTTGCGTAAAACCTGTGATATCCCAAACTACCACTCAGTCCACTCGTGTCCTGCGCAGCCATGCTGTATCTACATCATCTGTTCAGAGGTATGATGATTAATATGTTATTGACTTGTATAATTTGTCTACCTTGCAACAAACAGGCTTATAAAGTTTACTACTCCTTTACATCTAGCTCAAAGACGGACTCCAGCGCCGTGGCAAAATTATCCACCACAAGTACACCAACATCCACTCGTATCCTTCGCACTCGTGCACTATCCTCACGTGATGCGGTCACCACCAACATCCCGAAGTTCACGTGGAATCTCAGACGGAGATCTTCCGTCTCCAAGACAACTAAAGGTGACGAGACCAAACCACTGTGCAAACACGGAGCTGGGAAAGAAGCTGAGGGCACTACAGTTGCGAAACGTCTGGCACCAGCAAAAGATGCAAGCCTCTGTTCAAAGCAGAAAAAACAAGAAGCACCGCTTGTCAATACTGAACAAAAGAAATCTCACAAAGTTTTGGAGGTATGTACATTAAATTACATTAACCCTTCGTTCAGATGGAACAGGATGAATTTGAATCCCTGCTCAAGTTTGTTTATTCAGCTTCTCACTCCATTGGTCAGCGGATGTCCTGACAGGCTAATGCCCAATGGACCATTTGCATTATAGACTAAATTTTGATCTAGACAAAAATTTCATCACAGCTTAAAAGAGCATCACAAAATTAGTAATATTCCAAAGTTTCGTTGCGAAATATTGTAAAATGCGGATAATATAGCCTTGCGAAATTTGCAATTTTCAGTCATTTTTTATTACAAACGGGAAATTGATGCCCCAACACCCGATTGGGCTGTCAATTTCCCGTGCGTAATACAAAATGACTGAAAAACGGCAAACTTCGCATGGCTATATTATCCGCATTTTACAATATTTCGCAACGAAACTTTGGAATATTACTAATTTTGTGATGCTCTTTCAAGCTGTGATGAAATTTTTGTCTAGATCAAAATTTAGTCTATAATGCAAATGGTCCATTGATAGGGGATCCGACGTACCCACAATTTAACGTCCTTATCCGAGAAGACTCGAAAGTCTAACCATTTACTGACGTCAATGTAAGGGTAGCATGTTTTCCTCAATTATTTTAAGACCTTGAGTAGATCGAGGTCCGACCAAGGATTGTACTCGGCTCTCCCAGCTTGAAAGGGAAGCGTGGGCTGCGTGGTACCATGACACGACACCACAAGAGCTGGTTTAGCGCGTTTGCGCGCTTTTGCATTGTACATTCCCAAGGGGAAGAGGAGGGGGAGGAGGTCATGAAACCACACGAATTCAAACACAGCTAATCGTACGAATTCCCGTATGAACAAATGGGACCGGGATAATTTGTGCGCGAATCTGACTGATCTCGTGTGAATTAATTGCGAGCTAAAGCAAGCGACGTTTTTCTCAACACCGACGTCAGATTACCGGGGGGGGGGGGACTGGATTAAAAACTGTGTTTGTATCAGTTTGTGGTAATCGTCAACACATATGACTAAATATAAGATTATTAAAGTTTTTTGCTTTCTTAGACAAACGCTATAAGGCAAAATACCACCAAAATTATACCAATTTTTGGGTGACGTTGGTATATATTGACAAAAAGTTGCTTGCTTTAAGCTCGCTAATAGGAGTTGGCGGCCAAACGCCGGAGAGTTGCAGCTCTCGTCAACTCTTGTTTGACATGGGTTTTAAGCTAGGCTAACATTCTCATAGGTCAAGCAATCACAGCCACAACAGCAGCCAAAGAAAGTTGACCTCGTCTTGAGCAAAGAAGAAAACCATCACGATGAGCTCAAGTTTTCCAAACCTTGTCTTGAAAAGGTCGAGATTAAGACCTTGGTTGTTTCCCAAGGGAAGGCATTGGGTGGCGCTAAACACGAAGAACCAGCAAGCCAACAAGCCGAAGCTCAGTTGAACAAACACCAGCCGACCACAAACAAGTCTGAGTCGAAACAAGAGCTTGATTTGAAGAAGTTTGGCATCACACCAGTGTTAGTGACTGCTAAGCCTCTTGTCGGAGAACCGTACTTGGAGGAAAGACCACTCACTCCCGAAATCTCCGAAGTAAAGATTCTTGGCAAAGACACCGAAGAGAGGCTAAGTGACGATGCAGAGGAAATCCCCTCTGTCCAGACAGCTCCTGAACCAGCTTTGGCGACTAAGCTTCTTGTCGGAGAACATAGTTTAGACGAACGACCAGTCACTCCTGAAGTCTTCGACGTGAAGAGTCTTGCTAAAGACACCGAAGGGAAGCTGAGCCAAGTTGCAGAAACCATTTCCTCTGCCAAGACATCTACACCAGTTTTGGCGAAGGAACTCTCTGGTGAAACTGTAGCCCATGCAGAAGTTGAAGCCTCTGAAGTACCCCGCACTCCATTGGCGAAAGACGTTCCCGAGAAACATCTTTTGGGAAGTATCGAAACTCCTTTGGCGAAAGAGCTACAAGCCACTGTCGAAGCATCACCTCTTGGCAAAGACCAACCCAGCTCGGATGAGAAACCAGCTTGCCAAGTTGAAATCCCGCCTGTTACCAAACAAAAATGCGAGGAGAAAAGCTTCCGCGATGATATTCCTGTAGTTAAAACCCGGCTTGAAGAACAAATCACTTTAACAACATCTGAAGTGATTCTTCAAAACTGCAGAGGTGAACCATCTATCGTCGTGGCAGATCTCCCTCCCGTGAAGACAACAGAAGCTTCAAATGTTCTTGAGGGAAGCCAAACAACATCAACTAAACCATCAAAACCTCCTTCGCACGTTGAAACAGCCAAACTCGAAGATTCGAAGTTGTCCGAAAATCCCAAAGCTGAACTCCAGTTTGCGGGTAAGCGAAAGTGTGAAGAAAACGTCAGCGATAACACTCGTGCAGTAAAATCCCGGCTTGAAAACGAAATCACTTTAAAAACATCTGAAGTGTTTCTTCAAAACTGCAGAGACGTACCATCTATCACCGTAGCAGACATTTCTTCTGTGAAAACACCAGCGCTCGTTGAGGCAGTTGACCAGTTGCAGGCCGAAAAGTCATCTAAAAGTCTCCCAGCTGAACCAACAACGGTTGTAAAAGAGCAGCCTAACCCGGTAACAACATCAGCGCGCTCGAAACCAACCGGAGATGCTTGTGAACAATTAACTGATGCAGAAAAGATCGCCGCATCGCAAGACAATCCAACATTGTCTGAATCTCTTGCCTCCAGTGAAAATGCAAAATCGCTGGGGCAAAGTTTCTTGGGCGAAGCACGAACAGAACTCGTGCATCAACGTAGATCTAAGTCGACCAAACGACCCGCAGGTCAACCTATAACCAACGACCTGCTCACCAAAAAACGGCGTAGTTTGAGCGCCGAGAATGGGCAACATGAACCAAGTCCATTTGGTTTACCCCTCCAGGCCGATTCATCACAGACGATGGATATTGGGAGAGTCACCCCAGCAGCATCGAACCAAAGCATGGAGATCGATACAAGCGGTATCCTTCCCTTTGTTTTCCGTTTCCCATCGGCGTTGAATACCCCGAATGGACTGAACTCGTCTGATGATATGGAACTGTGTGACTCGGGAAGCAGTCAGATAATACTATCGCCTTTTGGTATCAACCAACAATTCGTGAGATCAGTATTTGGTTGTCAAACATTTGGCTTCACAAGTCAACCGACAGGACAGCCTAGATTTGGCGTCAACCAAGCTACAAGCCAGCCATTTAGCTTCGGTAGCAGCCAAGCACAGAACAGTTTACAAACCGGACCCGCAGTCAACGGATTCAATGCTAGTACATTCGGTAATGTACCAGGATTGGCTCAAGCTACCAACCAAGCCCAACAGATGTTTGGTAGTGTACCACGAGCACCTCCTCTCCCAACTACTGGTTTCAACCAAACTGGCAGCAAAGTGTTCGGTAACCAATCACTCCAGAATAACCAACAATTGTTTGGTGTCAGTTTCAACCACCCACCACAGACCTTTGGTAACATACCAAAAGCACCACCATTACCTGCTGGTATTCTTAAGCAATCTGGCAACCATGTCTTTGGTAGCGTACCACAACCATCAGCTATGTTTGGTAATGTACCAAAGGCACCACCCTTACCTATTGGTGGTTTTAACAAAATCAGCAACCACCACTTCACGTTTGGTAGTGCACCATTGCAGACCAACCAACCATTGCCTATGTCTGGTGTTAGTTTCAACCAGGCAAACACACCACAGATCTTTGGTAACCCACCTGTATTGAACATACGGCCAACGTTGACCAATTCCGATGGTTCTCGGCGAAAGTTCATTTTCACGAAAGGGTGCAAACGACACAATGTCGCGAAGCCTCCGCTCAGCCTTAACCAAACAGGCAACCAACCAACCAAAGTTTTTGGCAACGCTTTTCAACCGAGTCCTCAGCACGTGTTTGCTGGATTTAGTATGGTGCAGAGCCCGACACCAATGGAATCTGAAGATGTTTCCAATCTAAGTGGGAATGGTCACCTTGTTGGTGGCTTGAATAATCAACCATCGAATGTTTGGAACCTATTTGGACAGAAGAATGGTGGTAACCAAGTTATGTTTGACTGTGGTCAGACGTCAACAGTCTTTGGTAGTCTACAGTCTACCCCTGGACAGCATCTGAGTGACCATTCAATGGAAGAAAGTGTAATGTTACCACATCGCACCACTGTGTCTTGCTTTACAATATCAATCACGCAAACGAGCCCCCAGCGAACTCTGAGCTTACCACAGATGGCTGGTACCAGTGCAGTTGGCGGACCATCACCACTATCAATACTTAAACCATCAATGTTTGCTGGGACAAGTTTTACCAACAGCGTAAGCCCCACGGGTATCCCACGCGAGACCTCCACGAACATTTCCTGCGAGACACCCACGACTCGCGAGACCTCCACGAACATTTCCTGCGAGACATCCACCAACTCCCAAGAAAGCGAAGTTGAGCCGAGGAAAGAAACCAAGCCAAGTGGTGATGAGGAGCATAAGACAACACTACACAAGATTTTCTCATCCGTTTCATCTCTGAATTCAACTTGTTCAAATCTTAGCGATTGCCAGAGCGAAATAGACGCTTTGATAGACATTTTATCAGATAGTATCAGCAACTGTAGTCTGGAAGATAACCCCGCACCTACCGACATGGGAGAGCTAGTCGAAAAGTTTAAAACTCTGAGTTTAGCGGACAAGCCGCTGGACAGTGATGCGAAGGCTTCAGAACATTAGATGGAGTGTTGTTAGGTGGGGAAGGATAGGTGTATTTAAGGAAGATGGGGGATATATTTGTAAATGCAGAGATTATTGGAGTTGTAATATTTATATTTTGATATTTGAATAAATGTATTTTAATAAAATGTTTGTTTTATTTTGGATTACTGTATACAGCTAAAAACGCACAGGTTGTTGCAAGTTGATATCGACAGGCGTGAACAATGTTGTGCGGCCAACCAATGAACAAGTTGTCAACCATGTTGTTCCAAGTTGTTACAGTTGAACAATGCTGTAACAACATGTTGATAGTACTGTCCATAGTGGGCCGCACAACCTTGTTCACGCCTGTCGATATCAACTTGCAACAAGTCGTTGATTTTCTCAATTTTTACACGTGTAGGTAGTATCTTGTAGGTGTTGTTTGTGTCTGAACTGCCTGAAAAAGTTATGACACTTCGCGCGTTTGAACGAAACGTCCAAACGAAATGCCTTTGGTTTGCTCAAGTAGTTCAGACACAAACCACGGCAGCTTATTGTAGAATAAATATTGTACACCAGATTTCACGAGACAACCATCTTGTTGAAAATAACTTTGTGGGTTCACATTTTACACAAAAATATTAAATTACAAAGCACACAAAAGTTCTACATATCGCCAGCTGTACTGTTCGTATATTTGTCTCAGGTTTTCAATTTTGTTGCGAACTCCGTTGATCCAAACTTGTCCAAAGGCAGTCTTGTGCTGAACATTGTACTCAAGTCCTCAAAATCTTCACGAGCTTGGCTGTGTTTTCGAGTAGAACATCTCCAGCGGTTTATTCACTTTCCAATACTGAAAAAAAATATGAAAATTTTCAACCATGCTCTGTGTACCGAATTACACCCTTCTGGAAAGCGCTCAGTTTTGGCTAGAGCCTCATCTGCCTCTAGTCTAAATTGGCCAAATGATTACCTTTTCATTAACGTTATCCAAGCTCATGCTTCCTGGTAACTCCTGAAACAACAAAAGGAAATCCATTCGTAACGTAACTAAGACTAGTATCAACAATGATTAAACTAATGCAAACTAAATATTCGCTTACCGTAAATTGCCCAGGCGTTGTTGCGATGTATATGGTGTAATCTGGCTTTTCTTTTTCTCCTTCTGAATTTAACAGAAAATAAGTATAATTTATATCATTATAGTTTCTTACTAGTAAACTTCAATATTAATCTGGCAGAATACAAGTGAATATTTACCTTCCCCCCCGGCTTCAATATTGAGTCGAATTGATAAATATCTTGAGAGATGGTCCACTAAAATAGCATTGTTAAATGAGAGGTGTTGTTGTTGTTGTTGTTGCTGTTGTTGTTGGTACAATAACTACTGTACTATTGGCTAAATATGACCTATTACAAGATTACAACAAGCTAAAGAAGCTGTTTACAAGATAAAGGTCAAATACGGTAATATTGAGTGAGATATTGTTCAGCATCCATGGTTTCAAGGTGTTTATCTCTTAGCTCGAAACAGGAAAAAATAAACTTGGATAGTTTAAGAATCGTTTCATTTTCAGTTGACTTTAATATGTCAAGTGATGGATTTTGTTCTCTTTGGTATGTATTGTTGGTGAGAACAGTGAGGAAGTCGTGCCTAATATTGTCGTAGGCATCACATGAACAGACAGTTCTAGATTATGATGACACTAAACTAGTTCTGCATGGAGAGAGAAAGAGATCAGTTTGTATACCATACCAGTTGCAATAGCTGTTGTCTTGATGTATCTGGTTTGTTTTCGTATTGTCTCTGGGTCGTGATCTTTCGGATGCGGTTTAAACACAAGCTCGATTTCCTGAGAAATTATTAAAAACATCACTTTTCTATTGTGTTGGTTTCAATGAACACAAGAAAGATAAAAGGTTTATAATATTGTATTTTCTGTAATTTTTTGTTTGATACATACATTGCTTGCATCCACAGCTTCGCTAACAGGTAAACCAACAGATTCCACTACATCTGAGGGGAAAAACAGAAAGAATTCGTACCAGAATGTCAAGAGAAATTCGAAGTAGACATTCTTTTACTAATGTATCGTAGTAGACATTGCGGAGAAGGTGAGGGAAGCAAGGTTGAGATGGTATGGACATGTATTAAGAAGAGATGAAGGAGAGCCAGTCGGAGACATTATGGAATGAAGAAATCGGAAGATGTGGAGTGATAGACATTGCGGAGAAGGTGAGGGAAGCAAGGTTAACATGGTATGGACACGTAATAAGAAGAGATGAAGGAGAGCTGGTCAGAGACATTATGGAATGAAGAGATCAGAAGATGCGAGGTGGTCGACATTGCAGAGAAGGTGAGGGAAGCAAGGTTGAGATGGTATGGACATGTAATAAGAACAGATGGAGAACCGGTCAGAGACACTCAAATTTTCCAACTGCTCTATGCCCCCAAAACTAACTTTCATTCTCCAGAGTTTCGTCAGATTCCTCGCCAGTTTTTTGTCGTTTAACTTTAGGAGTTAAACCAGGAGTGCTTTCTCTGGACGTTGACGCATTCGGAGACGGTGTACTGCCTGTTGCTTCTAAAATTTAGAATCACTGGTTTAGCAAGACGATGCCTGTGGGACTAAAGTAACGCCTGTATTGCTGTTATTATAAAAGCTCACTCACACTCAATGAGTGGAGGTTCAATCTGAGCTTCTCTCGAGTGTCAGTGCAGTTTTTGAATAGCTGTAGTGTTAGTGTCGTACCTTACTATGTGACTACTCACCCTCCAGCTATTCAAAAACAGCATTGACACTCAAGGGAAGCTCAAATTGAACGTTCCTCCACTCTTTGAGTGTGAGTGAGCTTTTAGAATACGGGCGTAAGACTTAGAAATCAGCGCCGTATACCTGGGTTGGGAACGGACTGTTCTTCGTTTGAGAGTTTACGCTGAAAACATAATTATATTCAATTTTATTAAATGATCAATGGTAGACTGGGCTTTTATCTCTGAAAATGAAATATTTCTACTTACGACTCGCTGTACTCTGTTCATTGCTTGTAACTTCAGTCCCTCTTCAATGCTGCTGGTTAGCGCTTGCTGGTTGTGGTGTTTGCTCAGCTTCTGAAGAACTTTTTCCTTGGTAGAAAACAGAGAAATATATGATAAAAGTAGTACAAAATACAGCTAAATTTTACTTATAACTGGAGTCTAACATTTAAGTGGCAGCACTCTCCCCTTGATGAGTAAAATCGTTTGGTGTTAGACATATAAAGAAATGGCTAACCTGGTGTGCTTCATACTCTTCTCGATCAGGGTAGATCTAAAGTGGATAAGAAACTCAATCATACAATATTGTTGGCGAACGACTCTGCAAATGACTTAGCAAATGATCTAGTAAAGAAATAACACTAAACTAAAGCTGAAATGAGCTAAAGGTCCTTGAAAATTAGTCAAGTTGTCTCTGCTCTGCTCTGATTAACCAGCATTAAACGAACCTTTGCAATCAAAGCATCAAAGTTCGGGTCTGGTCTGAGGGATCGTTTCGACACCAGCTTTTTGCGACATGTTGGACATTCTTTATTTCTAGAGAAAACATACTGTAACTAAATAATTCAAGTAATAAAAACAAAACTACCTAGAGGTTGCTGAAACTTACCCACTTCTCAGAGCAGTGATAATACAATCTTGACAAAATCTGTGCAGACACTAAAATAGTACAATTATATAATCATATGATTGATCCAATTTAAATTAACCCATTGAGTGTCAGCTCTCGCTTTGACAAGTAAAATCATGTGGGGTTAGACAGAGTAAAATAATCCAGTAGGGCACATATGGGCACACTGCCACTTAAAGGGTTAACAGGATGCATGGGAAGATGGTCTGATTAACCCACTCAGCACCAGCATTTTCTCCTTGATGAGCAAAATTGTCTGGTGTTAGACAAAGTATAAAGTACTAGGGCACATCGATTGCCACTTAAAGGGTTAACTCGATGAGTTTTAAGACAGATACTTGCCTCCTTGGTTGTCATGGTATTTTTCAACATATCCAAACAGATCGGGCACATGAGTTCACTGTGAAGACTCCTGGGGGAGATGGTGATCTCTGTGTCATCTGTGATTGCCTCTTGTGGTGTCCTGTGCAGCTCATACAGACTAAGATCTGAACAAAAATTTCTTAGATATAAATTTATAATATACTAGATTGCCTGTGACCACTAGTTTTAAAATCCAGTAAGGATCATCTCTTATTGATAGTTCTATCAGTTCTAAAATGTTCTCCCTAGAGGTCCAGTGTCACTACGGGAGGAAACCTGAGTACTTAGAGAAGGTGCTTGGTAGATTCAAACTGGGAATACCGACATACAATCCATGAGAAATTAGAACAAGATTCAATGCTTGCTGTTACCCATGTGAGGGGGTGGGCAATTTTTTGAATGAGCATGTGCAGAAGTGTCAAGCTTGTCCCACAATCTTTGGGCCAACATTTTCCCAATAAATACTCAAGCTGAGATATAACTCCAGTATGCCTGCAACATGGTCAGCAACCTGTGGTACACAACACCATCTATAGTGACTGGACTACCATTATATCAAGTCTAGTTCTTGTTGTTTGGATGCTGGTAGGTCCGGTACTGATGCTTGTGGAACATAAGTACGATGAGTAAGAACCTAGCTGTACCACCACCGGATGTGCCCGAGATGGTCGGAAAGAGCTGCTGCTCCACATTTTTGTGGTATCATTCTTCACAGTTTATCTTACCCAAATAATACAAAACAAATATTTGATGGCGTACAATGCAGTGTCGACCTATTTGATAGCATCTTTTGATGGTGTATGTATCTAGTGTAGGGCTACATAAAAAATTGCAGAATGCTACCTAGGATACATGTCTTTGAAAATATGACCTTGTCATGATCTTTAGATATCTCATATCTTGTATGTCACTTGTTTACAATACGTAAAATCAAACACAAATCTTTCAAAAATAACAGATCAGCCTTTATTATGTTATATATACTACAAAACACTAAAATGACAAACATCAAAGCAGATCCAAGCTATATAAAACATAATCTACAAACATTTCCAAAAAAACACGACGAAAAAAACAACCCAAAAATCATCTTTCAACCTACCCCAAGATTTCGGCTGAACGAGTTGCTGGCTGCTTGTTTGTGAAGCCATAGATCTCCTTTATCTTACAACAAAGCCGTAAAGCTAAAAAAATTGCGATCGTTTGTGTTTTTAGTTGTTTTTTTGAAAGATTTTTTCCAAATGAACTTCACAAAATCTTGTAAAACATGCAGCTGGTACCCAGACCTAAATGAACGCGGCCGAAGAAGCGATAAATTTGGCGAAAATATTGGAAATTTCTATTTTCTAAATTTTCTTTATTTTTTAAAGTTTTAAACGATATTAAACACTTTTGATTATTTCTACAGTTTATTGAGATTGTTAGCTTTCGTTTAAAACTATTTGATAGTTTAAATAAATATTTAATTTTTCAAAAACAGATAAACAATTTTTCCTGGTGGGTCAAAAAACGGTAAACGTTCGGCGCTAATTAAAGGGTTTCCCCAAAATGCGCCATGGCCGAAAACATAAACAAAACAATAACTAAAAGTTTGTTTTTGTGTGAAAATTGATTGAAATCTTTTAACATATTTGGTCGATCGCTTTATTCAACAAATCATAGTAAAATATGGATATTAATTAGTTATTTAGTGGATTTTGGTATTTATACAAGGCTGATAAGTAGATGAAATTGAGAGCTATAGTTTCATGTTTGAAATGCGTAAATGAACGCGTGTTTGTGTGACAAATGAATGGATGTGTTTACTGTGCTTGATTGATGGAAAATTATGATATAGTCAGTACAATTGGACGAGGTGGTTCCGGGAAAGTGTTTCTGGTGCGAAGCAAGGAAGATCAGAGGTAAATTTGCAGTTATTGTAAGATATGCACTGTATATTTATGTGTGCTTTTAATACTGTAGTAGCTAGTGGTTGTTTGAAGTTTGTAAAATGATCATTTATGTGTGTGTTGATGGCGTTGAGTATTTAATGTATATAACCATCAAGTGTATGGGTTATAATTTGATTTTCCAATAACCAACTCAAATACTCAATTTTTATCTTCAAATGACAAGACACTCCACGAACTTATATCCAAGGGCCCAGGGCTACCTTTGGCTTACCCCTGGTTAGCCAGGGTGCATTCCATGCAAAGTCTACGCCAAAGATATGCCAATATTAACTATAGATAGTATTGTAATTTGCCAAACTCATGAAGGTCTTTGGCGTAGGCCACTTAAAATGCACCCTGGCTGGTTAGGGATTCGCCCTGGAAATCTGGGTTCAGTTCCAGTTCATTTGCACTACATCAAAGTAAGGTTCAAACTAACCTGAGTTGATCGCCTCTTTAATGAACTTCAAAAAGCCAACTCAGGTGGAAATTTATCTTCATGAATAAAAGATATCTGAGATTTTTCACCTTAATATTATCTAGACAATATGCACTGAAACAGATTATTTTGAACACAAAATCAAACACGAAAGAATCTGTACTTAAGGAAGCAAGGTAATTGTCATCATTTGCATTTATGGATGCACAGTCAAAGATAAAAACATCGTCTTTATTCTCACCTAAAACTTTAATGTTTAATCGTTTTTACAGGATTCTCTCGACATTAAAGCATCCACATATTGTCACATGTTGCAATTTCTTTTTTGATGATCTTGAAGAACACTTATATATATTACAGGTATATCCCATACCCTTGGCCATTTGGGGGCAAATTCTACTATGAAGCATTATTAGGGTCATAATTCAAGTAGAAATTCTATTGTGTTAACACTCAATATATGTTTCTGTTATTTGAATACAGTAACATGATTTAAGTTTTAGCATTTGAAAACAGAGCTCTGACTTTTGAAAAAGGAGTTCTGTTTTGAAAAGGGAGTTTTGGCATTTGAAAATAGAGTTTTGGCATTTGAAAATGGAGTTCTGGCTTTTCAAATTTCAAATTGTGTTATTCGATTTCAAGTTATGTTATTAGAATTCAAATTGTGGTATTTGAATAAAAGAAACATATATTGAGTGTTAGCACAATAGAATGTCTATTTGAATTATGACCCTAATAACGCTTCATATGTACATCCTTATTTGTTTCGAAGATTATTTTATATTAGCAATTTTATATTAGCAATTTTATATTAGCAATTTTATATTCATTTTCTCATGATTGGGTCATTCCAGAAAACATCCATACCTCCCCACAGAGTAAACTGGAAGTTAACCCCCCTACCCTCTTTGGATGCCCTAATACACTTATTATTACCAGAAACAAATTTTTCTCACCCCCCCCCCCTCTGGATGGCAGCAATTTCCTCCTTTGGGGAGAGTGTGGATCTTCTCTTGAACGACCCATTATTCATGATAATTAATTGTGAATATTGCAGGATTATTGTGATGGGGGTAATTTACAGGACCAAATTTTTGATAACAAAGAGGTAGGTATGATAAAATTAAATATTTCTGCTGCTAATGCAACTTCTGGAAATTATAAATTAACCCATTGAGTGGCAGGCTGGAAGCACTCTCCACTTGGCGAGTAAAATTGTCTGGTGTTAGACAGAGTAGAGGGTGCATTGCCAATTTAACCCTTTAAAAAGGGTTACTGTAGTGTGAAATTGACATATTTTTGTTTAGAAACATGCAAACATTAAAGAAAAACAAATTATGCAGGTGAAATAGATTTGTGTCTAGCTTTTACTGTAGGAGGATTAATTTTGTACAATATTAAAAAATTTCCATTCTCTTTTATTTAATTAAACAGTGGTTTGTTCAAGTAACAATGGCTGTTCAACATATTCATGCAAACAAAATTTTGCACAGGTAATAATTGCTTTCAGAGCATTGATTTTTTCTGTGTTGGTGTTATGCATCAGGTGAATATGATGTTTGTGATGTTACTCTGAGTGTATATCCACACCGGACAAGCTTGAAAAATATGCCTGGCCACGGTGTGAATTGAACCTACGACCTTTGGCTTTGAACAGAATTTCTTCGTTCTTATTATAATTGTCTTTTAACACAACATTTCAGAGACCTGAAAACACAGAATATCTTCTTAACAAAACGAGATCTTGTCAAGATCGGTAAGTGACAGTCTGTGACATTGTAGGTAGCAATGATAACGGACAGCCATGGTGTGATTCAATGTAGTGAAACGCACCTATTGTGTCCATTCCAGGTGATTTTGGCATTGCTAAAGTCATGGAGAATACGTTGGACATGGCTGAGACGTGCTGTGGTACACCTTGTTATCTCAGTCCAGAATTATGTCAAGATGTACCATATACCTCAAAAGCTGATATCTGGGTATGACTAATATTTATTTTGTATTTGAAACTCAAATTATTGGACATTTTGGATTGGTTGTATGAAGGCCAGATAACGCTGTGAAAGTGATTTTTTTCAACGTTTCTTAAATTGCTCATTGATTGGTATAATCTGGGTTAAACTTTAGTATTAAATGTTAAATTTTCATTTAATTTGTGAGGTCATGAATATCTGTAGTTTTATAACTTTTCAAAGAATCATTATCCAGTGGATAGCACCTTGGTACAACCGAGCCCTAGGGAGAGGTTTGGAGGTTTAGAACTGGTAGAGTTAAGCAGTATAAATAAAGATTTAAGGTGATTTATATTTTGAAGCAAAGTGTTTTGTTTGTATCTAGGCTCTTGGTTGCCTGCTATACGAGTTGTGTTCTCTACGCCCGGCATTTAGCGCTGGAAACATTGTCAGTTTATTTTACAAAATTGTGAGTGGGAATGTCGAGGTATGTCTACAATATCATCATCATCAATATTGACACGACAGGGTTAGAAATGATCATTTTACTTTGTCTAGCCGATACCATCAGTGTACAGTGAAGACGTCGGCAATCTAGTATCTCACATGATGTCAAAGTCTCCAGACGATAGACCAAGGTACGCTAACGATAAATATCGAATGATCCACAATGTGTCAGCGTACAGAGAGATTTTGGTGGATTCAACCACCGGAATTTTGGTGGATTCAACCACCGAAGGCACTTCGTCCTACTAACTTTCCAACGAAGAGCCTTCGCTCAAAACGTCAGAGTTTTGCTTGTATTTTTCAGGCTGCATTTCGTCAACCATAAATATGTTCAAATTCTGTCACAGATTTTCTCCACTTAATTTCGTATTTGGACTTTTCTCTTGTTACAGTAGTTTTGTTATTAAACACAGTTTTTGTTGAACTTTTAGCGCCGGTGCAATCCTGAATATACCGTTCGTAAAAGAACATCTCTCCTTGTTCATCGAGGGCAAGAAAAGTTTAAAGGAACAACAACGGTACAGTTAATGACAGATAAGCTAGTGTTGTACGAGTTAGCGTTACGCAAGTCTGCCAACAAGCCGTCAACAAGTTGTGTTCGCACTGCTTGTCCCAAGTTGTCAATAAGTTTGGAACAAAGTTGTGAACAACTTGTAACAACCTTGCTGATATTATCAGACGTGTTGCAAGGTTGTTCCAACAAGTCTGATACAGTCATGATATAACAATATTGTTACAACCTTGTGTCGTCAACCTTGTAACATTCTTGTTATATCATGACTGTATCAGACTTGTTAGAACAACCTTGTAACAAGTCTGCTAATGCCATCAACTTGTTACAAGTTGGTAACAGCTTGTTCCAAACTTGTTACAACAACTGGGAACAAGCAGTGCGAACACAACTTGTTGACAGCTTGTGAACATAATTGCAACAACTTGTTTGCAGACCTGTAACAACTTGTGCGTTTTACTTGTTCCAACAACTTGTCAACAGCATGTGTTCGCACTGCTTGTCCCCAGTTTGTTGACAAGTTGTCAACGGCTTGTTGACAACTTGCTACAAGGTTGATGAGCTCAACAGACTTGTCACAAGTTGTTCCAACAACTTATTATCGCCCTGCATTTCAACAAGTTGTGAGTGACAACCTTGTAGCTACTTGATAAAATAACGGCATTGTTACAACTTGTTGACAAGCTTGCTTGTTAAAGCCTGTTGCGAACACATCTTGTTGACAATTTTACGTGTGCTTATTGTATTTTTTTTAATATTTAGTCCAAATGAAGATCTCCGTGTGAAGTCGGCCAGTAATCAGCGATGTTCCTCCCGACAATCCAAGTCTCCTGTTGTCCCAGAGGAACCGAGCAGTCCCGATTACCCTGACGATTTCGAGGCGTCATCCGACGACGACGAGGCGGAGTATTCCGATGACTTTGACGAAGGGGAGGGAGATGAGTCCCTCAAGGAGCCAATGGCGGCCAAGACAGGTGTTGGTTTGAGTAAAGTTGGTGTGAATGTCGAGAGTTACTCTGATGAAGAGTTTGAACAGGATTCCGATTCTGAGGTATAGTTGCGATGGTAGTGGTGGTGATGATGATGGTGGTGTGATGGTGATGGTAGTGGTGATGATGATGGTGGTGACTGTGATTGGTGATGATGGTGTTGGTGACTGTGATGTTGGTGACATTAATGTGCTGTTGATTGTGGTAGTTTGGATGGTGATAGTGATGATGGTGATGAAGATGGTGGTGATGATGATGATGGTGATGGTGATGATGATGATGATGGTGATGGTAACTGTGATGATGTGGTAGTGGTGGTGATGATGGTGATGATGATGTTGATGGTGATAGTGGCAATGACGGTGGTGGTGACGGTAGTGTTGCTGTTGATTGTGGCAGTTTTGATGATGGTTGTGGTGGTGGTGATGATGGTGGTGGTGACATTAGTGGTGCTGGTGATTGTAGTAGTTTTGATGGTGATGATGATGGTGGTGTTGATAATGATGATGACGATGATATAGCTGTTGGCATGGTAATGACGTCATGCAAACTATGGTCAATTATTTCTGATATTTCCGTTTCCTTATATTCTAGTCTCTGCGAAATATTCTCGCTTCAGCAAAGGCAGCCCAAGACTTAGAAGGTATACACTATACTGTAGTTCCTCTTTACTTTAGCGAAATGAAATCAACGTAGCCAAGATTTATCAAGTTTTTGAACTTCTTTATTAGTGCCTGAGGAGACAGTTGAAGATTATGAACGACCAGCATCGTCTTGTCGAGACATCATAAAAGAGTAAGACAGCTTACTTGCCAAGACAGTTTCCTCTTATGAAGTGTTTAAGTGTGTTGCAAGTTGCAAACAAAAAACATAACAACAAATAATATTTTTTATTTTTGTAAAGGCCAATTTATGCTACATAACTTTTGCCTAAAATTGTCGCATGCAACCTGCTTACAACTTGAGTTGTACTGTGTAAATCAAACACACAACTTGCCTACGTTGTAGGTTGCATGCGACAGTTTTAGGCAAAAGTTGTGTGGTGCAAATCGACCTTAAACTGTTTTATTATTCACCAAACATTAGGGGATGCATAAATGTTCTTGGTGAAAAAGCATTTAATGAAGTCAAAGAGTTGTGTCAGAATGGAAAGAATAAAATTGAAGATCATCCAGGGTAAAATATCACGTTGCTTGTCGACTCCCCTACACAGACGAGCAGCCTTTCAAGTCTCCTTCAAAAGCGGACTTGCTCGAGTGTATGATCAACATTTTTTTCTTGACAAGTTGAGTCGCTAGAATCAATAAATAAACTGACACTTCATGTATCTTTCGTCCATCTAGGCAAGAATTTGAGAAGTTAAGTGGCTCTGACACGATGGAAACATGCTTCCTTGTCAACGAACTTTTTATGCTTGATCCATCCTGACCAGAAAATCTAAATTTCACGAATCAAAATAATGGTTCTCAATATTCACAGGGTGTTAGCTAGCCCATATACTGTCCGTTTGACGGACTCTTCCCAATTGAAGTAGCTAAGGGGCTTTCCTAACTGGGTCTACAGGAAGATTTTCATTTTTTTCTGATGAGAAAGTGCATTGCGTTTGATTTTATATTATTATATCAAAGAACGTTTTATTTACTTTTTCCCATTAACTATTTTCTCAAAATGTATCGCGTTTCATTCATATTGGGTGTGTATTCACTGAAATGAAATGTATAAAACAAAGTGTAATCGGTGTGCATCCGTGTTTATTCACCGGAAATGAAATATACAAAACGAAGTGCCATCATGGGTGCATTTTCAGTGTTCATTCACCAGCAATGAAATGTACAAAACCAAGCTACCGTTGTTTGCATCTAAGGAGAAACACGTTGGAAAAAAACACTATTTATTCCTACACAAGGACTTTGATCGGTCAAAAAAACTTTCCCAATTTACGTTTAACGGACAAAACTTTTCTTCTGGCTAACACCCTGATTCACTAATAAACGACGAATGGTTTCAGTCAGCATTGCTGGGCAGCAGATGAGGCTCAATTTCAGTGACACTTGTTGAATTTCATCTCTCAATTTACTACCAAATAAAGACTGCTACAAATAATGGACAGAATGAACATTATTTTCTCACTCTGATAACTGCAGGTTGACCAACCATTTGCTGTACGTTAGTGCTTTGTGAAACCTACCTATTTTGTAGTCACTAACGATAATAATTAATTTAGCGTTGTAAATTATGCATTCGTGTAATATTTGTAGTTTAGTGTATATAATCTGTAATATAGTTTGTATGTAAAGTAACATTTTTAGAATTTATTGGTGGTTTTTAATTTGGTCAAATTTTGAATCGACAACATGCGAGTGTTCATCGTTAGATGTAAATGACGGTGTGGACTAAACCACCTGCTCGCAGGCTGTGTTACCAAGACAACGGTGCGGGCGCAAAGTTTAAAAAATTTTCAATATGGCGATTTAAATTTGAGCGATCATGTCAAGTTTAGACGATATAACCAAACATTTACCGTCTTTGCAGTTTGATTCAGCACTTCCAGGCGACGAGAGGTTGGAAGCGATGCTTGTTATTTTTTAACATGTTAAAATATCGTTCAAACATGTTGTATTTTATGTTTTAGGAGAGGTTTAATTCGACTTCGTCAAAAAAATTTAGCCGCTATTTCAACAGCATGTGCTCAGGCGTAAGTATTTTGGGGACGTTTGATTTTGAAAGTAGGCTTGGAGATGAAGTGATAGAAAAAAATAGAAAAGCGAGGACTGAAGACTACGTGATTTTGATAAATATATAACAATAATGTTAGTAACTTAATGTTAATATGAAATGTTAAAAATAAAATAAACGTTGGTGTTCACTGCTCATTTAATGAATGTTATTTAGGGTGTATTTTGTGTCAACACTAACTGAAGTCAATGAATTAATTTTGGAAAAAACTAGAGTGAGTATAGGCTTGAATCACTCATGAAATTCATCTGGTGTAGCTCTGAACAAATTCATGCAGTATCTATATAATCTATTGGTCTATTATATTACGTGTATTGATTAAATATTGATTGTGTTTTATTTATTGACAACCAGTCTTCCAGTAAGAGTTGTATAACATCGAGCTTCAGTGGTTTGAAAATTGGGATTGTTGGTTGTGGCAGGCTTGGAAAACAACTGGGAACAGTTCTACTAGATTTAGGTCAGTTTAATCATTGTTGTATCTTGTTGTGGTTTGTGTCTGAACTAGGTGAAAATAACTGGGGCGTATTGCGGCTCAATGGGTTAATATTATATATTGATTTATGCCAGAAAACTTTGGATTTATAGGGATACAACAACTACCTGAAAAATACAAGGAGAACATTGACGTTTTGAGTGAAAGCCCTTCATTTGGATGTTAGTACTTTCATTGTTAGTGCTGACAATTTAGGCCTTCGCTTGAAAGTTCTCCTTGTATTTTTCAGGTAGTTGTATCCCTATTAATGCAAAGCTTTCTTATTATACTACAGTCGTGATTCACTCAATTTTGGTTACCGTCAGTCGTTAAAACCCCAAAATTTTACTGACTGTTAAAATACCAAAATATTTACTGTAGTACCTACACGTTCAATGATTTGTAATATTCAGGTGTTGTTAGTGCCAGCAACTTATACATTTCTACAAGATGTCCAGAAAATTTGGAAGAATTTCAAAACAAAGGAGTTTATTGCTGCTTTGATAATGTCATGGTAAAGTTTTTTTATAGGTTTTGAGAACTTTTTTCAGAAATTATTAATTTCATGGGCGGATTTACTGGGGGGGGGGGGGTAAACCCCTCCTAGAATATCTCTAACCTCTCAAATAGAGGGTTCAACCCCACCCAAATTTTGCTTCACCCCTTCTATTTTGTGTGAAAGGCTTCAACCCAAATGCCTAACCCCTGCTGAAACTCACTGTGTGGTACCACTTGCACCCCACCCAAAATTTTTCTACCCCTTTTTAATAAATGAAAATCCGCCCTTGATTAATTTGCTCTCAAAAACCCTTTAACCTGTGTCTATTACTTAACTAGGTGGGCAAAACTGTTGATATTCTCTTCTTATGTTGCCTGCCATCACAACTCAATACAGTTTCAAAGGTAATTAGTTTATGAACGATGGCCTTTCGTCTGGAATTAGTAACTCTGTAAATATGGATGGAAAGACAGGCAGTAAATCCTAAGAATTTTTAAGTAATTTAATTGATCTATTACCTAATGAACAACATTTTGATCTAGAAAAGTCTAGACAAAAATTTTATCACGGCTTGAAAGTGCATCACAAAATTAGTAATATTCCGAAGTTTCGTTGCGAAATGTTGTAAAATACGGATAATATAGCCATGCGAAGTTTGCCGTTTTCAGTCATTTTATATTACGCGCGGGAAATTGATATACCTTTTTTCAGAAAGCGCGGTATCAATTTCCCGTGCGTAATACAAAATGACTAAAAAACGGCAAACTTCGCAGGCCTATATTATCCGCATTTTACAACATTTCGCAACGAAACTTCGGAGTATTACTAATTTTGTGATGCTCTTTCAAGCTGTGATGAAATGTTTGTCTAGATTTGTCTAAATCAAAATTTTGTTCATTAGGGAATAGGTCCATTGTCTTTCTTGAACTTTTTCTTTAATATCTGCAGGATTTACGTGGTAATGTTGCTGGTTTGGTGTATTCGTTTGTTGCTGGTATGTCATTGGCAAGAATAACTCAACTATTGGACTACCAGAACATTGTTAAACCAACTCTTGTATCCTATATTTCCTGCATTAAGTTTTGTCTTGCAACTTGAAAAATAGTAAAAGGCACTTTGATGTTTTAGGAAGCTATCAGCTACAGCATGTTCCGTGTAGAATATTTTACTTAAAGTGCCTATATCAGGGTTTTGGAGTTTGCATATCTCG